TATTGTTATTTTTTTAATATAAATGACCTAAAGGTTTTTTAAGCGGTTTTTGTACTTTTTTTAGCGATGATGAATACCCATTTTTATGGTAAAAAACACAAAAAAATCTAAATTTTTTGGAGCCAAAAATGCCGATTTTCGATCAAAATTTGGAATTAAAATGTTTTGAAAGTTTTTTTCGATGGATTTCCACTTGAAATATAGCTACATTTTACCACGAGCGCTATTAAGGTGCTTGCTATAAAATGCTAGGTATTTCGGGACTTAAAATAAAATTTGCCCCCCCCGATAATGCGAAAGCACCATTTTTCATCGCTTTTACTGCGTAATCCCTAGATCTAAAAAGTTTGGTTCCAAAAATTCTGATAATCTTTTTATTATTTCGGTCCTTACCACTTCCGTGCAAATCCTATTTTTCAAATCCCCCGATTTATGCTCCTTCCTGTTTCCGGATCCCAAAAATCTCCTCGCAGGTACCGGGTTCTGGGGCCAACAAGGTATCTCTGTTTGTGTGTCCAAATGTGTGTGTATCTGGTCCGGATTTCCTGTTTTTGTGCCCGTTTCCAAAAATCCCATCGAAGCCGCATACATAGCCATCTCCCCCTCCCCCTTCTAGCCCCTTCCATTTGGGGGCACTTCCGGCAAGTCGCAACTCGATTTCGCTGGGGTTTTTTGGTGGTGAAGAAGCCGAGGCGACACCGAGCGCGTCCGTCTTCCACTTCACACTTCAAAACCGGAAATCTGGCCCGGAATTTGTTTTTCTTTTAATTTTTGTTCCGGTGCTTGTGCATTAGCGGGGGGGGGTGGAACCTATTTTTTGTGCAATTCCAGAAATCCCGAATAACCTAATAGCAAGAGTTTTAATCCTTTTTTACTAAAATAATCTATATTTCAAGTGGAAAACTAACTAAGAAATCTAGAAAAATGCCAAAAATTCGAACATTTGAAGTCGGGATTTTCGATTTCGGTATTATGCCTGTCGGGGTTATGATTTTCGGCATTTTGCCTACCGGAATTTCGCTGTCGGGACAGAAGGAAAAATGCCGACATCAAAATCCCGACACGGAATCCTCGACAGCTAAAAACCGGAAAGACCATTATTCCGGCAGCCAAAATATCGACAAACTGTCGGGATTCTGGTCTGGCAGGGTTTTAACTGCCAAACGTTGGCCTGTCGGGATTTTTGCTGTCGGCATTCTGCCTATCGAAATTGCGCTGTCGGGATTTTGGCCTGTCGGTATTACAGGGTATCGGGATTTTAACTGTCGAGATTTCAGCGTGTCGGCATTTTGCCTTTTGCGCCGTTTTGTGTCCTGGACTTTGCCCCACATTGTTCTCCCCTAAACATGGCTTCCATTAATATTTCACGCTAACCGACCATTTTTCCATCCATAGACACCAAAAATCAAAACCCAAAATAATCCCCCTCCTGCCCGATGCAACATTATGTCCTCATTCCCCCCTTTTTCACTTCCCCTCATCCCAAATAGGGGAACTGCCCCCCCTCTCATTAATGCATCAAACTAGGGTAATGCGGCGTACTCTCTAGGGTTCGCTTTCTCCGCAGCGCCAAGACACGCCTAGTCGCCATCAACGCTAGAATTTTTTGCGGCCTTCTAAAAGTCTTTTGGGTTCTTTTCCGTTATTGGGGGGGGGGGTTAAATCAGAGAAACACTAACTTTTTTTTCTCTAGCATCCAATGTTTCTAATACAAATAGAGGAATTGCTTCTAAACTAATTTTTTTACTTTTATTAAACGTGAAAACCCTACCAGTTTTATTGTAAATCAAAAGCTATTGATTTTTCGACAAAAAGCTGCGATTTATGATAAAATTTTCGAACGATAAAACTTGAAAAATGGTGAAATCTGACTGAAAACATTACTAAACACATTTTGAGCGCTTTTGGACGTATAGATACTCTACAATAAACAAATACAATAAAAAAACAAAGAGAATAAACAAAAATCGTCTCCACTGATGCCGCACCCCCCCGATAATGCAATAGCACCGGCATTTCCTCGATGGCTAGTTGCCGGTCTCAAATGATCGCTGCTAGCTTGCCCCCTCCCCCGCATCGCTCCCCCCAAAAACCAGACCGATTTGTTGATGGGCTCCTGTATAAATGGGTTACGATGGGCAAAGGAGGGCCCACGGGCCGTTCGAACGAAATCTCGTTTCCGCGTTTTCTATTGGGAGGGGGGGGGATAGGCCAGGAAGGGACGACGATTTATCCATCCCGCAGGATTCTCTGTTTTGGCCGGGTCAGGGTTTTAAAGGGATCGTGCCAGCTGGAGGATACGTGCCTTTAATGCTAAACGCTATCTTTCTCTCTCTCTCTCTCTCTCTCTCTCTCTCTCTCTCTCTTGCTCTCTCTCTCTCTCTCTCTCTCTCTCTCTCGCTTTGCCTCTCTATCCCTCACTCTCTCTATCTCTCTCGCGCGCTCTCTCTCTCACGCTCTCTCTCTCTCTCTCTCTCTCTCTCTCTCTCTCTCTCTCTCTCTCTTACCCACTCTGCCTCTCTCTATCGCAAGCCCGCTCTCTCTCGCGCTCCCGAGGCGGAGTTTGAGCTTCTTCCCTATTCCTCCCTTCGGCCCCAAATTGGCTTCATTTTTGACGAGTTCTTCCTCCCCTCCTCCCTTGTTCTTCGACCTTTTCTCTCGCCTATCAGGAGGAACAGCTGAAAAATTTTGTTGCGCGTGGGTATTCGAATTTTTAAAGGCATTTTTAAGGCAAGCGCCGCCTATAGTGGGATTTCCGCGCCAATATCCCTAGGGAACGCGAAGCTGTTTCCTATTATAATAGTATTTTCCTTTAGTTGTCATTATAAATTTTTAAGACGCATTGAAGGCGGCTCCAACTGCAATTTCCGACGCAATACTCTAGCCGATGCGATGCTGTAGTCTATTGTTACATACGTTTCTAGACCAAAACACGCGCAACAATAGCCGTTTTCTTCCATTTAGCCAGACTACGATTGAGGCCTAATAACAACTATATCTATGTACGCAGTACAAACTGGCGTTAAGGTGGAGCATCACGTAGCTCCAGAAGTATACTCTTGACGTCCACAGTAGCCCCCGTACTCTAGCCAATTTCTCGTGTGTGGCTCCCGTTTTTTGGCAGCCCCCGAAAAAACCCGAAAATTGAGAGTGGATTGGGTGGAGCTATGGTGAGTGAGAGAGAGAGAGAGAGCGAGAGAGAGATCGGTATAAGGAAGTGTGCCCATCTCTATATATTTTCTTCGCTCCCCGAGTGAATTGGCGCCTTCACTCTTCTCCCGGGGGCTATTAGCCTCTCCAAGCGTCTTCTTCTGCTGCCTGAAATCTGGCCCCGGCCAAAGAACTTCTCCAGCCGCCTATAGAATGGGGGATAGGGTTACGGTAGCCACAGATTGGGGCTTGATTTTGGGTTTTTCCACTTAAAATTACGCCACTCGCTATCAATTTCGACGATGTACAAGCGTGTACAAGTACAATTCTTCTCTGGGCGGTGGACTATTTAGTTAGCCGAGATTTTTTATGATTATGGGGTGCTTTTGCATTATCGGGGGTGGGGGGACAAACTTTTCGTTAGTAGCCGATTTTTCTAATACAAGCAGGGGAAGTGTTTTTTGAACCGTTTTCTCTGATTCTTCAATAGCAGAAACTTTGCAAAAAATTTTAGCAAGCGAGAAGAAATATTGATTTTTCGACCAAAAATTACCGATTTTGACCAAAAATTCCAATTTTAAATGGTTTAAGAACTGTTTAAATAGTTTTGCCACTTTACATATATATATTTTACCTAAAACAGTATTACGACACTTACTATTACTTGGCATTACTGGAGCAATAGGAAAAAATTAGGTTCTCCCCGATGATGCAAAAACACTTATTTTTGAAGTCTGGGTTTCCAGGTACGGGGCTTTGAAATGATGACGGACGGCAGTTTCTGAGAGTCCCGGCTGCCGATCTAATTCCAGCAATTTTAATGACCGAACTCGAGAGATCTCGGCTTAACTTTGCCCTTTTCAAGTCGATGACGAGCCCGATACCGCGTATATATTCGACTACTTTTCTGTCATTCACTAATCCCTCCTTGGAGATTTCTACGTTCACGACCTTATTGCATAAATTTTTCGTGATGCTCAATTCTCGAAAAACCTTTGCCAGCCATCACCCCTGGTCGATGACTAGATTTTTGATGCCAAGATATCCCAGTTCTTTTGCATTATCGGGGGCACCTATTTTTCTCTCCGCAGAGTCCAGAAATGCCTGAGGGCGTAATTGTCAAAGTTTTAATAGTGTTTTTAGTGTAATTTAACCATAGTTTAAATGGAAAATTATCTAACAAATTTTGAAACCGTTAAAAATAGGGATATCGATTGTTTCCTATTTTCTACACAATGATTTTTATCAGAATTTTATACAATTTACGTTTAAAATAGCACAAAACAGCTGCCGTATTCGTATACTGGGTACTAAGGCGGGAAAAGCCCCCCCCCCCCGATAATGCGAAAGCACCGAAATAATCCCGATCTCTGCAACTCGACTCTTGTTTTGTCACTTTTTTTTGATTGCGGCCAAGCGCCCACTCACTTTTCCAGCCCTTCAGTACTTTTTTTCAAGCAGGTGAAAAGTCACCCCTGGACGTGCCATTTCCGGGGGCGAACTTTGCAAAAACCAGAAAAACGTTTGCAACCCGGCAAGCCGAGTCACCTGGACTATTCGGGCGGAATGGCCTTCTGGCTGGGCCTCAATTCCAGGAATTCGCCCAGTTTTTTGAGCGTCTTCTGGGCTAAATTCGGCCTCTGCAGGTGCAGATAGCAGTGGGAGTTCTGGGTTTTCTTGGGGCACTTATTGGGCAGAGAAATATTGCCTACTTTTCGCAAACATCGGCGTCTGAACTTCTCTGCGTTCTCCGATAAATTTCCTACTTTTTAACCATTTTTTGACCATTTTTTGGGTTTTTTTTTCTTGTTCTTATCGTCTAAAAACACTTATTTTTGTATTTCCAGGAAATGTGCACACCGGAAAATGATACCCTCCTCAATTTGGACGACCCAACCGTGCAACTGGTGCTCAGTGGACTCGTCAGTTTCAACAGGTAAGCAGGTTCTTTTCCATTATCGGGGGGGGGTGCATTTTTTTGTATGAATTTATATATTTTTTGTTTCGGGTTATAGCTTTTTACGTGTTTTTGTAGTTGTTGCTTTTCTTGTATAAGCCCGAAATGCATAGCGATGTAATAGTAAGTATTTTAATGGTGTTTTTGCTAGAATTTAACGATATTTCAAGTAGAAAATTTATTAAAATTCAGAATTTTCGAAATTTTGCGGTAAAACCATTATTTTTTCGGCCAGAAAATTTGTTTTTTCGCAAAAACGTAAAAATAGCAAAAAAAAAATTGGCAATTGTGTTTGTTCGCACTAAATTCTAGCTTATATTTTTTTGTTTTTTTTTGCTAAATCAGACATTTTCTGAGCTTCTTTTTGTGTAATTTTTTGTAGTGACCAACGCTTTAGCGTTAGATTTCTTGTTTGTTGCTAAAAAGCGTGCTTAGCGTGAAAAAGAACCCCCGGGGGCCGAGCTCTGGTCCCCTAGCCTCATCCATCGTTAATTGAGTAGTAGTATCTCGTCTAGATCCCTCCTCTGCCCCCCTCGCGTGTCACTTTTCAAACCCTCAAAATTTTGGCCGGGGATCGACGATTTTCTGGTTAAAAATTTAGCAAAAACAGGGGGCAGCGCTGGCGAGTTTTTTACGGAAAAACTCGTGAATTAGGAGTTTAGGGAAAGTAGCATTAATGAAATTAAAAATCACTGTAAATAAAAAATTATAACATTTTTATTCCAGCGTCTACACAGTCTTCCACCGTTTCGCCTCGTTGTTCATCTGCGTGGCCGGCGTGCTCGCCAACGTGGTGCATATTTTGGTCCTCTCCAGGCCGAGGTATGTTCTTTTTTCGGGCTAGAGCGTTAACGGGGGGAGCGGGAGTTGGTACTGGTCTGTTAGCGGGGGGTGGTTCTTCCCCAGTGATTTCTAGCCTTTCCCCATTTTTCTAGTCTCCTAGATCTGTTTTTAGGTTACGGCGCTGCGCGGTGAACGCGGTGCTGACGGCGGTGGCGTTGTGCGACGTAGTGACGATGACCTCTTATACCGTATACCTCTTCCGGTTTCGGATATTCCAAGTTCGTTTCTGCACGTTTTGTAGGCGGTTTGAGGAGCGGGCAATTCAAAAAGGCTCTTTCCACTAGAAGCCGCTTGGTCTGGCTGTGCCCGGTCCGCAACGCGCCTAATTACATTTTGGGGATCGGGTGGAAGATGTTGGACCATCCGGCGGCGTTTTCGAATTCTGGAAGCTAAAAAATTTGGTGTAAACGTTCTGGGGAGTCGAAACTTGAAAAACTCTTAAAAATGTTGCAGGGCGAAGTGGGCTACTCGTACGGCTGGATCGTCTTCTTGAAGGCGCACGTCTCCGTGTCGGTGGCACTACACGCCATTACTCTTTACATGGGCGCCGCGCTGGCGTTTATCAGATGGCGAGCGCTTGGGAATATACAAAGTCGATGGCTGCTGCCGGTGACTGCGTGGTAAGCGAGAGAGAGAGAGAGTGAGAGAGAGCGAGAGCGAGAGAGGGGAGAAGTGAGAGATAGATAGAGCGACACAGAGAAAGAGAGGGACTTCCTACAATTTCTAAAAAATCGAAATTTGGTGGAAAATCTGTATTTTATTATTTTTTATTAAATTCATGGAGTTTTTACATTTACAATAGCTTAAATTTAGAAATATAACACAAAAAATCAATTTTTTTATGAGAAAATTAAGCCGATAGCAAAAACATAAAATATTTAGCTTTTCCCACGTCATTTCCAATTTTTTTTACAGTATTTCCAAGCCGAAAGTCAAACTGGCATCACTAATTTTGCCATCCTTTTTCTGACCTTCCCAAGCGACACTTTCGGTGCGGAACTCTCGGTTCTTCTTCCTGTTTGTCTCCCACCTAAAAAGTGACCAAAATTGGCCCCTTCCCTGCTCCCCCCAGGTCTAATTTCATCCCACCCACTTTGTCCATCCGATGGGGGTCGAGATTCGTATTTTGGACTCGAAGACGGGGGCTGACGGGCAAGGGCAAACTAGTAGGGTTTGTGGGAAAATTAGAAAAAGCGAAGTATCTCGGTAGAGGTGGGTTAACGGGGGGGGACTGATTTTCCCTAACTCGTTTTGCGAAATTTTTGGTGTTTTTTTGCAGGTTTTCGGTATTTTTTCGGCATTTTCGAGTTGTTGTCGGGAGCTTATAGATGTCAGGTGATAGAGCTTCCAAAAATATACGAAATCGCCCATTTTTACAAAAATATATTTTTTTCTTTAGTATACTAAATTAATATAATTCAATTATATTATATAGTAAATATATATTTATTTTTCGTCAAAAAATTGTCAACTTTTTACCTTTCGGAAAGCTAAAACCAATTCAAAAACACTGGCTATATTTATATAAGAAAAATTTGATGCTAAAGAAAAACTTTTTCACCGCTTCCTCCCCCGATATTGCGGAAGCACCCCAGAATTCTTACCAGGCTCATGGGATTCTCGAAATAATTTCTAACACAAAATTCGATTTCACTTCCTCCCCCCCACCGTTAAGTAACTTTTACCATGAACTCTAGCTGAACCTAAATTTAGCCTCCAAGTTGGCCTTCCCGTCTCGAGGAATGTCGCGAAATTTGTATTCTGGCCGAGGGCGAGACCGGCGTTGCGAAGTAGTGGGGCGGAAATTTGAGCATTTCCGAAAACGGCTTCAACCTCCCGGAAGAAGAGGAGGAGGAGGTGGTGGTGGCGACTTTTCGAGGGGGGGGGCACTCAAAAGCCCACGTAGGCCATGGGCTTGGATTTGTCACGGAGACTGAGGAGGGGGCCGTAAAAATATGAAAAACGATGCGGTAAACGGCTAAAAATCCCTGGTTTCCAGGAAAATGTTCTTCATCGTCTCGGCCGTCATCTCCACGCTGACGATTCCGACGTTTTACCTGCATCAAATTTATCAAGTCGACAATTCGGAGGGGAATTTGACGCTGGCAGGTACGGTCGTCGAAAAAATAATGGTTATTTTATTTCGCGAAATATCACATTTTTGTGTCACAAAATGAGCGAATGATGTGACAAATTGTAAAATGTCTTCCTATAAACCTTTTTCGTATTCGGAAATTAAAAAAAAATCATAAAAATGCTTATCTTTTATTTCTCTCGAAGTTATACTGAAAAATGAATGAAAAGGCTAATGGTTCGGAACAGATTTCTATGGAATTTTTTAGATGCGCTCGTCCCGCCCCACTACTCGATGACGTTCAGCTCATCGTGCGGCTTCTACAGGTTCAACTTGTGGATGATGGCCATCATCATGAAGGTGGGTAGAAAAGGGAGAATATGACCTTGTAAATCCTTTCAGACCGTCCCCTGTATCCTTCTCCTCTGGTTCACCATCGCGCTCGTCTTGAAGTTGAGGGCCACCGATGAGAAGAGGCATCATCTATACTCCAAGAGCTTCCGGAAGCATATTAAAAAGACGACAGTACCCGACAGGTTCGATTTTTTTTTTGGAAGATTGTAACAATTTTTAGGACAACTTATATGCTTCTCGTGCTGTTGATCGTATTTCTTGTCACGGAATTGCCACAGGGGATCATTGCATTGTTAAATGGTAGGTCGGAGAAGGCGAGAGAGATAGGGAGAGAGAGAGAGAGAGAGAGAGCGAGAGAGAGAGAAAGAGAGAGAGAGAGAGAAAAGTAGGAGATTGTGAGAGAGAGGGGGGAGAGAGTGCGATTGAACTCCTCCATTTTCAGAATGTACACCCACGAGATCAACAAGTACATCTACGAAAACGTGGCCGAGCTGTTGGACATGCTCTCGCTCGTCAACTGTTCCATGGATTTCATCCTCTACTGCTGCATGTCTTCCAGGTACCTTTAAAAAAATGCCGTGATCCGTACACGTAGCTTTTGGTTAAAACAACAAAAAGTTTGCACCGGCAGGATTTGAACCCGGGCTCTCTGCCCGGGAAACGAGAACACTACCAGTTAGCCAAGGCGACAATTGATATATTCTTTGGAAAGCTAAGTTTTAACGTGTGTTTTCAGATACCGCCAAACGTTCGGCCATATGCTAATCCGGGCCGAGAGCTGGCTCCGGAATCGGT